AGAAATAGACTCAAATATATATGGAAATTTAATATACATTAAATTCTTAAATTTAATATTTAAGAAGACATCTTAAATCACAAAGGGAGAAGGATAGTTATTTTAATAAACGGTACTTCTAACAGGTTGAAATGTGTTCCCCCCAAAGATATGTGAAGTCCTAATCCTCAGAATGTCAGAATTATTTGAAAATAGCATCATTACAAATGTAATTATTTAAGTTAGGGTGAGGCCATAGTAGAGTGGGTTGAGCCCCTAATCCAGTATGACTTACATCCTAAAAAGGGTAAATTTGGACACAGAAACAGACATGCACAAAGGGAAAATGATGCAGAGATGCATAGAAGAAAACCATGTAAAGACAGAAGCAGAGACTGGAGTGACACATTTACAAGCCAAAGAATGCCTGGGACTACCACCAGCTGGAAAATGCAAGGAAATACCCTCCCATGGAGGCTTTGGAGGGGACATGGCTCTGCTGACACCTTGATTTTGGACTTCTTAATCTCCAGAACTATGAAAAAATAAATTTCTCATAGTTTTAAACCACCCGACTTGTGGTGCTCTGTTTTAAACCACCCGACTTGTGGTACTTTGTTTTGGCGGCTCTACCAAATTGACCCAGAATCAGATAACTGGATAACCATTTGGCAAAAGATAACACTGAATCCATACCTCACATCATATAACAGAATAAATCCTAAATGCATCAGAGAAGTCACAGTGAGAAATGAAACTACACAGGTGCTAAGGGGAAAATGAGAGAATTCCTTTCTAACTTCGAATCAATATCTGTAGCATAAAAGGAAAAGATGAATATATTTAACTATATGAATAGAAAACTCTTTTGCATAACAAAATCAAAAGATAAGAAAAATTGAAGAAAACCATTTGTAATTTATATCGCAGACAACTGACTATTCTCTTTTGTGTAAAGAGCTTTTTATTTATTTTTTAATTTATTTTAATTTTTATTTTTTTGTAAAGAGCTTTTTAAAAGAGAAAAGAGAAATACCAAAAATCTGGTTAACAGAGGACATGAACAGAGAGTTAACAGGAAAAGAAAGGCAAATGACCTTTAAATCAATGAAAAAGATGCCCACTCACTAATAATTAAAAAAAATTAAAATTACTGTAAGGCTAACTCTTTTATCAGATTGGAAAAATCCCAAAGTTTGAAAATATATGCTCTTGGTGTGACCCTAGAAAAGACTCTGCCCAAGCACACACATGTGCACATGAAATATAAACACGTGTTCAATCATTGTGGGATTATTTATAACATCCAAAGGCTGGAAAGAACTTTGCTCAGCAAAGGACTGCTCAAACTGCTGGGACATGGCCACAATGTAGTACTATTCAGTGGGAAACAGAAACAAGGACAATTTCTATGTACTGACATGGAACAGAAAAGTGTACATAAAATGCTCCAATTGTATAATTAAAGAGGGATAATTTTCAACAATAAATATTTATTTGCTTATATTTACTAAAATATAAAAAAGAGATGGAGAAAACAGAATTGAAATAAAAGAAAAAGAAAGTGGGCTAGAATTGTTAGAGGACAGGAAAAGAAGCAAGAGTTTCCAAAAGTACCTTTTCATGTAGTTTTGACTTTTAAACTATAAATGCTTTATGTAACCAAAATTATACATAAATCTTATTTAAAAGCAAATTTTAGAACTGAAAGCAAATAGAAATAAATATAACTGTATATCAAAGTATATATATCATAATTACATATATAATCATATATATAATTTCAAGAGACTTTAGAATTTAGTACTTTTGGTGGACATCTTTGGTGGGATATAGTCTAAAGACAAAAAGAACTGCAAAATATCTTAAACTTAATTCAGTAATTGTAAGTAATAATATTGGTATTGCTATTTTGGAATTTTTAAATATTATAAAATAAAGCTAATATTATGTTAATGATATTTGGAACCAAGATATTCAGCATAAGAGAAAAAAAGATAAAGGTAAAAGTCCTATAATGTTACATTTGAATTAGAGTAACAATTCAATCTTACGTTTTTCATAGTTTTTTTATTTTAATTTTTTAAAAGATTTCATTTATTTATTTGAGAGATAGCAAATGAGAGCACACGGGTTGGTGGGGGAGAGGGAATAGTAGAAGCAGGCTCCCTGCTAAGCAAAGAGTCTACCATCGGGTTTGATCATAGGATGCTGGGATCATCACCTGAGCCCAAGGCAGACTGAGCCACCTAGGTACCCCTCATAGTTTTATTTTTTTAAATGATTCAAAAACTATGATAACTTAGGAAATTTTAAAATGTTTAATTATCCTATAGAATTTACGTCCTACAATTGCATTATTTTATATAACATTTACTTTTTCTCCTCATTAATCCACACTGAAGGGATTTTGACTAAGTATAATCTGAGCTATGAATTATATCCTAAAATCACCAATGATAGTAATAGCAAAAAAAAAATTACCGGTTTTATTTTAAAACATGTATTTCGTAATTTCTGAAACATGTATTTTTTGACAATGTTTACTGAAAAGGTCTAGATGCAATGATCTTCCGGTCTTAGCATTCCTAACCTTCAGATTTTGGGTTTAACATACCAATGTTCATGGAAAGATACCAGTCTTTTGGAGACTACCTGATTCCAGGTCAGGAGTAGGCAAAACGTGTGTGAATCTGGGGCAGCTTGTTATGCCGGAAAGGAAGAAAGCATTCAAACACTATGGTATCATGTCCAAAGTACAGAATCAATTATGAAGTCTACAAAGGGCCATATTTAGGACAATGTGAGAATCAAAAAGTAAATAGTGCTGTGCTGAAACACACTGCATTAGATTACGTCCTGACTTAAACACACATGCACGCACACTAGCAATATAAAAACTAATGTTTTATGGGTGCCGGGAAAAACTATTTTCAGCAAATCACAAAAATTTAAAGCATTCTTTTAATTTTATAATTCTTTACTGTGGAAGAGCTCAGAATGTCATTTCTGTTTTAAATAACAGAATTGGCAACTGACCAAGAAAACGTCATCTGGATTATAAAATTCTTGCTTTAATAAAAATTTCTTAAATAGTGAAAAAATATTGAGTAAACCAAGACATACTCCAAAAATTTATAAGGAACAATATACTTGTATTTACTTGTTTAAATACTATGAACACTTGAATACTGTACACAAGGTTAGCTGGTTGTAATTTTAAAATTACATTAAGGAAGTTAATTTTTATAAAAAGTTTTCATAAATATAAAATCTTAAATCAATATTATTTGAATGCCTGCAAAACTACTTTAAAAAGTAGAGTGTTTCAGTCTAATGGACATATATTAAATTTACTTAAAAGGGATGCCTGGGTGGCTCAGAAGTTGACTGTCTGCCTTCGGCTCAGGGCATAATCCCGAAGTCCCGGGGTCGAGTCCCACTTCAGGCTTCCTTCATGCAGCCTGCTTCTCCCTCTGCCTATGTCTATGTCTCTGTCTCTCTGTGTCTCTCATGAATAAATAAATAAATAAATCTTTAAAAAAATTTACTTAAGAAAAAAATCTATAAATCACAAAAAAATGACAAATTTCCCTACTTAAAAAAACATAGTTCCTAATTCTCAAAGTGATTTATTGTACCTTTTTCTTTTATTAAGATCAACATTCTATTTTAAAGTCTCTTATAAATGTAAAGTACTACCTTGTGAATGTAAATATACTTTCATTTATTTATTAGTAATAGTAAAAATGATATCCCCTGATGATTTAAATAATAGTCAAAACATTGGGGCAGTTAGAATTTTAAATTTTTAGACTTTTAAATTTTTAGACTTTTAGTACTAGAATTAAAATAGTTGAAAATGAGGCATAGGATCCATGCTGAGTTGTAAAAATATTGAAGAAAATGCTGCTAAAACAGTAGCTATTTTAGCTCCTCCCAGAGTTATCTAGATGTGTGTAAACTTTTGACAGTTTTAGTGTTATATTTTGTGAAAGGTCCCAGTCCTAATAGGAATAGATATAGTTTTGGTTGCCTTACATTATAGTTGCTTCACTTTGCAAAGAATATGTGTAAATTTCACATTTGTGCTATTTTACTATCTTATATAGAAGAGGGAAGAGAGAAACTATGTAATATTTAGTTCCTGCGTTTGGCTTTTGCCAAAGAAGTCTGAATGGTTTCTAAGAAGCCATCCACTAAGGCTATTTGAGAAGCTTTAACATGACCCTTCCAACTTTAAAATGAAGAATCCTGACATAAACTGAAGCTGCATTTTGCTTGGGATGGGTTCTTTATAAGCAAAGCAGATTTCATCAGCTAGAATTGAAAGATGATTCTGTATTACCATGGAAAAGAAAAATCTCACATGGACAAGTCTACTAATCTTTCATTTCTGCAGGCTAATTATTACTTTATTTTATACTCATTGAAAAAATCAGGGCTTATTTCTATTTGTGATTTAATTTTATATCTATGAATAAATACTACAATGTTTCATTTAAAAACTATTAAACTTGTCATTTTAAGGGTACTGCAGTAGTAATGTAAGTCTAAATTTGGTTCTTTTACTCGACATATCATTTATTCAGATAGTCACTAAAAACAGAATTTGATATCCATTTTTTTTGACTCACCCAAAGGTGGTGGATTTATTCCTGGCATTTTTTTTTTTTATTTTTCTGGTAATCTATTTAACTGAATTACTAAACTGATGGTGAGTTCTGCTCCTGTCTGGAGTCTTAGGCTATCTTAACGTTCTGTCATTGGGTTCATTCAACTTTTTATTATACCGAGTTTGTAATATGACAGCAGATTCAGCCTGATGGATTACTCTAGACTTCGCTGGAGTACTGGCAGATTTGCTTTGTTCTTAAAATACATATATACTAAAAGGGCATTCTATTTTCATTGTTCTTATTAAATTAACCTTGGAATAAAAAATCAGAGGAAAGCTCTGTAATGAAATCACATATTTATTAAATCCTTGGTTCTATGTACAATCTCCACATATTTGTATGTTTTAATTTTCCTCTTGTAAGGTAATTAATTAAATGACATAGGCAGGTGATGGCAAATAAACTTTTTAATGAAGTTCTACTTTTGTCAATTCCACATTGATTTTGCTTGGATCATGGCGTGTAAGTATTTTGGGCCCCAGTATGCCAATAATTAGAGCTCCATTTGGAGCTGTGATCAAGATGGCTAAAAATGCTACTGTCATCACATCCTTCGAATATGATTCCAAGTGGGGTGCGCTGATTCTTGCTGTTTCTAGAGCCAGAGGACCTAATACAGCCTGCATTTAGGGGGTAAAAAGATGAGGCATAAAGAAAAATATTAAATAGTTAATACATAATAAAAGTTAATGGCCCTGTTAAAACAAACACAACCTAGTAGTAGGCTATCAGAAAAGAGACAAGCCTTAAAGTGCTGAGGAATTTCACAAATTACTCATCAATTCTATGTTCTCCCTAGTAAATATGTCTGGATGAAAAGTGAAACAGTGACAAATTAGTGTGCATGCGTTTTGGGGCTGATCTTGTATTTTTATCATCTCAGCTTTCCCGTTAAATATATATATATATATATATATATATATATATATATATATATATATTTAGTGCTCACATTACTCTCAGAACCTCAGGAGTTCTAAACAAAGCAGGGTTTTGCTTATTTGCCTTTACCATAGATTATCAGGTTCTTGGCTGTAATAAGAGCAAACACAAAATACTAAGGTTTCTTATGGTTCTCCAGAATTTTGTTGCTTATCTTTTCTTTGTTCTTCCTACTTGGGAGGCAGTATATGATAAAACTGATAAAGAGATTTGGAATCTACAAAGTGGACACTGAGAGATTATGAAGTAACTTGCCTAATATTATAGGTAAGTAACATGGTATTGAAAACACCCAGGCTGGTCCCATGGACCTGCTTTTCTAACCATGACACATGGAGAATTTTGTTGCATGAGAACTCACAAACTTCTATTTTGGAATAACAATAGAAAAAATCTCTGGAAACCAAGACATTATGTTGCCAGGTTAAAAAGTCTAACAATAAGTAGCAATACCTTTTAGTAGGAGCAGAATACCATTGAATCAGAGGGCAAAACTATAAGGTCTCCCTATTCATTCATTCATTCATTCATTCATCATTCATTCTGTAAGTATGCAGTGCTAACTTATTGTGTACCTCCTGTGTGCCAGGCGCTGTGTTAAGTATGAGGGGAGGAATAATGAAAGAAAGCAGACATTGTTCCTATCTTTCCCATATACCCTGGTGGGGAGATTTGGTCATTAATTAAAATAATATAATTTAAATGCATAATTAAAAATAATATATATGCATTCATGTATGGGGGAGTGGGTACAGATGTAGGAAAGATATATTTTTAAAATAATTAATGTGTCTCTGCTTTAAAAGCATTACATTTAGCCCTACAATATTCAGCAAAATGTAAACATTCCAGTATTCAGATATATTCTTATATTTTGGGAAAATAGAAAAAAATGTTGCATAAGTATAGGAAATATTTGTCATTAAAAGTACACTTTTTTAACCTCAGTAGAATTGCTTTTAAAACTGAGATTTTGGGACACCTGGGTGGCTCAGCAGTTGAGTGTCTGCCTTTGGCTCAGGGCGTAATCTTGGGGTCCTGGGATCGAGTCCCACGTCAAGCTTCCTGCATGAAGCCTGCTTCTCCCTCTGCCTATGTCTCTGCCTCTCTCTGTGTGTCTTTCATGAAGAAATAAGTAAAACTAAAAAAATAAATAAAACTGAGATTTTAAAAGATTACATTATTTTCAATGAGTAGTTACAATCAATCAAACATTTTAAAAGTAAGGTTAATAGCCCACATTTTGTGATTAAAGTAACATTCATGGGACGCCTGGGTAGCTCAGTGGTTAAGTGTCTGCCTTCTGGCCCAGAGCGTGATTCTGGAGTCCCGGGATCGAGTCTCACATCAGGCTCCCTGCATGGAGTCTGCTTCTCCCTGTCTGTGTCTCTACCTCTCTGTCTCTCTGTCTCTCTCATAATAAATAAATAAAATCTTAAAAAAATAAAGTAACATTCATTTGGAATTTAAAAAACTCATCAACATTAAAAATTATTAAAATGACTTAACATGTTCTTACCTGGACTGTAGCTTTAGGCATCCATGATAATGCAATAAATATTTTCTCCTTGAAACTAAAGCCAGCAAAACACATCAATACAAATGTAAAAGAAATTCGAATCAATAATGCCAAACTCATGGTAGCAACACAAATGCCTACAACAGATAAAAATAAACATAAACAAAATATTTGGGAAGAGGTGGTTCTTTATGCCTAGAAAAAGTACAAGAGATTATCTGATAGTAAAGGTACCATGAAAGATAGTATAGATTATATTTATTTAATTAGGAACTAATAGACTTTGAACTTTTGCTATAAATGGAAGTATTCAAAAGGTGCTAATGGTGTGTAATACTTTGTCAGAAAAGAATTCCAATCTGCATTTCCTCGGATGCCTCAGGGAAAATAGTCAAGGCTGTCTTTGGTAACAGAGCACACAGGGTAACAGGAGAGCAAGTGTATGCTAGTAACTCTATCAACATGAGTTTCTGAAGAAGGTTCTTGTAGCATTCCAAGACATATTGTACACAAAGTAAAAATTATTCATAATTTTCTTAAATATTTTCAAATCTTGTATTTTGTTGTGTCTCTAATTATTCTTACCAATAGCATTTGATTTAAGAGATGCAACAGATACTTCTGATCCAACCAAACCAAAAAGAAGGGGTTGAAAAACATGCCATGTAGTTTTAATAATTCTTTGGACTCTAACCTGTAGAAAAGAATAATATATTTTCAGTTATTGTGTTTAGTGGTTGTAACACATAAAAATAAATTGCATTTTAGAAATAAAAATCTCTCTTAACATTTAATGAACTTAAGATATTTTATTTGTAGAAGAAATGGTAAAACTTAAAGATTGAGTAGGTTAATTCTTTTACTCAAACATGTAAGTGGAATTTGGTTTTAAAAAATCTGGAAAGCTTATAGCAGAATTATTTACAGTAGTCAAGACATGGAAGCAGCCCAAATGTCCATTGATTGATTGATGAATGGATAAAGAACATGTGGTATGTAAATACCTATTCATGAACACAATGGAATATTATTCAATCATAAAAAAGAATGAAATCTTGTCATTTGCAACGATATAGATGGGGCTAGAGAGTATACTGCTAAGTGAAATAAATCAGAGAAAGACAAATACTATATGGTTTCACTCATATGTGGAATTTAAGAGACAAAACAAAGAGACAAAAATATACATATATAGAGAGAAACCAAGAAGCAATTTCTTAATTATAGAGAACAAACTGGTGGCTACCAGAGCGGAGGGAAGTGGGGGGATGAGTGAAATAGGTGAAGGGGATTAAGGAGTGCTCATGTTGTGATGAGCACTGGATAACGTATGAAGTGTTAAAACACTATATGGTACACCTGAAACTAATACAATAACTGCATGTTAATCAACTGAAGTTAAAACAAAAACTTTAAAAAAGAAGCGAATAGAAATCAATGCTCCTTGAAACCAGAAAAAAAAATCTACAAAGCTATTCAATAAAAATATTATTTTGTAATTTTGTCTTGGAACAAATAAGATCTTTGGAGTTCCTGACATGTTCTAGTGGTTCAGTAACAATTCTAGCTTTTGTTTATAAGGTAACTGAACAGAGACAGAACTAGAACTACATCATGTCAGATGAGCACATACTCAAAATTATGCAACCATTTCAGCTCTCAAAAAGTTGAGAGGATCTCCCTTAACAATTATCTTGGAACCCAATCCTGTGAAAGTGGTGAATTGATATGTCCTAAGCTACCAGGCAAAAACTGTCAGTAATCTGTCAGGCCTGCTTCCAAAGGACCCATGTTGAAACTTCAAAAAAAACCTTATTTTTTCCTCAAAACCAAACCAAAAACATACATAGATTCTTCTTTTTTAAAGATTATTTATTTATTCATTCATAGAGACACACACACACACACAGAGAAAGGCAGAGGGAGAAGCAGGCTCCATGCAGAGAGCCTGACTTGGGACTCAATCCAGGGTCTCCAGGAGAGACCTAGGTCCCTAGGCTGCAGGTCCCTAGGCTGCAGGTGGCGCTAAACCGCTGTGCCACCAGGGCTGCCCCATACATAGATTCTTAATTTGATTGCCTGCCTGGCTTTCCTTTCTGAGAGTGAACCTCTCCCAGTGCTACTTCCCCAATTATGTGGTTACAACAAAGTCCCCTATTGATATAACAGTACTCTAGCTCTTCTCCAGGAATTTGGATAAAGAAATTTTAGTTTCAGTATGCGCTTATTTATCTTTTTTTTTTTTTTAAAGAAGATAAAACTGTAATATCCTTTGGGTATAAACTATGTTTGTAACTATCTCCCTCATGACTGAGTTTTCTGATTTATAAAAGTGAAGTTTAAAAGAGGAAAAAAAAACAACAAAAAAACAATATTACCCTTTCTTCTTGGTGGGACATTATCCCATTTCTTAAAAAAGATCTTGTTTATGTATTCATGAGAGACACAGAGAGAGAAGCAGACACAGGGAGAGGGAGAAGCAGGCTCCCTGTGGGGAACCCGATGTGGGACTCCAGGGACCATGCCCTGAGCCAAAGGCAGATGCTAAAACCGCCGAGCCACCCAGGTGTCTCTCTTATTTGTTTTTAATACAGATTTTATTTATTCATTTGAGAGAGAGAGAGAGAGAGAGAGAGAGAGAGAGAGAAAGCATGAGAAGGCGGGTAGGGAGGCGGTACCGAGGGAGAGGGAGAAACAGACTCCCCGCTCAGCAGGGAGCCTGACATGGGGCTCCATTCCAGGATCCCAAGATCATGACCTGAGCCGAAGGCAGACACTTAACCAACGGAGCCACCCAGGTGCCCCTGTTACTTTTAATTTTTAGAATATATTCTTTAGGGCACCTGGGTGGCTCAGTGGTTGAGGGTCTGCCTTGGGCTCAAGTCGTGATCCCGGGGTCCTGGGATTGAGTTCCACATTGGGATCCCCATGGGAGCCTGCTTCTCCCTCTGCCCATGTCTCTGCCTCTCTCGCTGTGTCCTTCATGAATAAATAAATAAAATCTTTCAAAAAAATCACTGAATAGTTAATGGGTTAGTCGATAAATAATTTAGTAAAAAATGACTAACCAGTTTATATGCATATATGTATGTGTATACATATTTATGAACACACACACATATCCTTATCTCACAACATTTACAAAAATAAATTCCAGATGAATTAAAGCACTAAATGCAAAAATAAAACAAAAAAACTACCAAAGTATTAGATGATACTATAGAAGACATTACGTTTACAATCTTGCAATCTGGGGTGAAGATATTCTTCTTAAACGAGATACAGAACCAAAAAAAAAAAAAAAAGGTCAGTTTTGACTACAGGTAATTTGACTTCAATACAAAAGACAGTATAAACAAAGTTGAAAATAAGCAAAAATTATGTGCAATATATATAGAACAAAAGAGTAGTAACACTAAGGTATAGAGAAATAAATTAGGAAAAAAGGCAAATCAATCAACTAAAATAATGGGCAAAGAAGATGAATAGGTAGTTAAAACATATATGAAGAGAAGTTTACTACACTACTAATCAGAAATGTAAACAAAGAATACCAAGGTTGTATCATTTTTTACCCATCAGATTGTTTAAAATCTTTGAAGGGATAATTTGGCAGTACTCATCAAAAATAGAAACATTCCATTTTTAAAGTCAGCAATTACATTTCTAGGAATCTATTTTTACAAAAGCACTTGTACATATGCAAAAATACACATGAACAGGATTGTTCATGGTAGCATTATAATATCAAAAATGGAAAGGAACTAAATGTCTACAAACGGAGAACTGATTAAATGAGATGATTGATTCTAGGAAAGGGGGTCTGATATTTGGGAGTGGTAGGGGAAAAGGAGTCTTTTACATTTCATTCTGTATGTGGGCTTTCTGTATTTTTCTAATCTGTTATGAGTATTTGTCATGTATTAATTGCATAACTAAAATTTTAATGAATAAAATAATTAAATCAATAAGTTATACAATCATATTGCACAAAACTTGGGAAAAAGAAAGCAGCCTGATGTGATAACTCAACTTCTAATTGCATTCTAGTGTATTCCCAGGTCCTTTTCCCAAATATTTTTACTTCTTTGATTAATTTATACACATCCTTGAAGACACAAATTTCTGGAACATCTTCCAACTGAAACAAAGAGATTTCCTAAATGTTTATTATAGATATTTTAAAAATACAGTTATTTTATCTTAAAATGATGTATTAAAGATATTTACCTTTTCTGTGGACCAATTTAACCCTGCAACAAAGCTCAACACTAGTGTGCATAATCCTCCAGCTGCATGTAAACCAATACGATGGCCGCCCAAGACAGCAGAAACACATATACTCGAAATAAGAAATGCTCTCTTCAGTGGACATTTTGTCTAGAATTAGGTAGATATTTAGAAATTACTTTACATTTAACATTTAATATAATGTTTACATCTACCATTTATTATTAACCCTTTGGTATCATGTCTCTATATGTCATATTAAAGTGTCTAAAATTTTTACTTTCTTTCTTTCCAAATATTTTAGCAGACTTGGTATCAAGTGAAAAATATGTGCAATTATGAAGTTTTAACTTTTGCCACATCTCTGATATTAATGTCAGTGAAATGGCTACAGTACTTTAGCTATAAGTAAAGAAGAAAGGAAAGAGACCCACATAAACTGTAGTTTGGATATATAACATACCAAAGAATTCTTTAAAAACAAAGTTTTGAATATCTCTTTAGCTGAGACAGCTGTTACAGGGAAGTTAAGGTGGAAGTTAACAGAAATACAAGAGTAATGGCATATCCTTTAGGGAAGTAATGGGTAGAGTTTAATAGTGTTGCCTTAGTCAAAGGGAGTGGGAGTGAATTTAAGTCAGAAAATATGCAGAGATAAATGGCAATCTATTTCCCCAAAAATGTTCAAGGGAAAATTTGAGGGAAAAAAGATTAGGGAAAATTGTCAGGGGTCAATAGGAAATTTAATGAATGAATAAAGGGCTGGGGTGGAATAGAGAAGGTACTCTGGGTTATGTACACTTCTCTGATATTCTTATTCGCCAAATCAAGATGCAGAGACTTCAGTCAAGGCCATTGACCTGAATCAATTACAACTGTGCTCCATTTTATTTTTTATTTTTTTAAATTTTTTATTTATTTATGATAGTCACAGAGAGAGAGAGAGAGGCAGAGACACAGGCAGAGGGAGAAGCAGGCTCCATGCACCGGGAGCCCGATGTAGGATTCGATCCCGGGTCTTCAGGATCGCGCCCTGGGCCAAAGGCAGGCGCCAAACTGCAGCGCCACCCAGGGATCCCCAACTGTGCTCCATTTTAAACAGAGAGTAGCACTGGGAGCTATTTTGGGGAAAGAGAATTAAATATTACATGTAATATTCATGGATCTTCTAAAAGTTCAAATTTTTGAAAGAAATGTCTACAACTATACTTACAAAAAATAGATTAACTTTTTATTTACCTGATCTTCACTTGGAAAATATTGAAGAAAAATTCCCAAAATAGCTCCTGCCAGAACACCAATAAGTATGTCCCGAAAAGAGACAAGGACATTTTTAAGTATACCACCTATAAGTGCACACAATAAGGGAAACATTTCAAAAAATAATATTTTCACATACGTAACATATCAGAAGACCAAATCTACGTAGTTCATAAGGAAAGGTACATATCTTCTAGAGCAAATATATAAAAGTGGATCTTTAATATTTATATAGTTGAAAACATCATGGTCTATTTGATAAACTTAGTATGTACTTTCAAATGATTTAATAAATACACGCAATTCAGAAATATTCATTGAAAATATAGGCCAGAAAACAAGAAAGTAATAAACTGTGTGTCCTCCCTTATAAACACAACCTAAAAGACCAGGGGAAGTGGAAGAATGGACAGAGATGGACAAAGGAGCACCTCTAGCACCTAGCACACATGTCTGGGAATGTTTCTTCTCTGATATACTATTATAACAAAGGAACAAATGGCAAAGATAAAAAAGAAAAATTTAACAACAGAAAAAAAGATTTATTCCAGTGTCAATCCTAGGAATATTCCAGTCAGCAATCAATTGAGTTTCCAACATATTTTATGTACCCATGTCTGTAGTTAGAGTAATAAATTAAAAACCAAAAAGATTCTAAGTCACAAAAAAGTTGTTATGCTATGGGTATTTAGCCCAATGTAGGTATGTAAATAGATATATTTTAGAAATATTTTTCATGCAAATATAATAGAAATGTGGGGTGACAAAAGCAAGGTGGTAGAATGGGAAGCCACAGAACCTTGATCCCCCAAGAAGGCATTAACAACAATATACAGTCCAAAACTTGATGGAATTCCACAAACAAATTAAGAAGTTGTAGCAAGAGAAAAGTGGCTTATCATGTACAAGGAAACTCCTATAAGATTATCTGAGGATCTCAGAGCAGAAACCCTACAGACCAGAAAGGTGTAGGATGGTATATTTAAAGTGTTGAAACAGAATTCAATTCTGTTACAGAATTTAAGATAAAGACATAAAAATGACTGTAAGACAGCATTAGTAGATAGATAACATAAAAAGATATAATTTGTGACATGGATAACAAAGTGAAGAGGGTGAGATGTAAAGGATTAGAATTTTTATATGTGATTGAAATTAAAGTATCACTCTAAGGTTTTATAACTACAGGGATGGAAAAAGATATTCCATGCAAATGATAACCAAAAGACAGCAGGGTGGTCATACTTATATCACACAAATTAAAATTTAAGTCAAATACAAATAAGTCACAAGAGATAAAGAAGGGCATTATATAATGATAAAAAGGCCAATTAACCTAGAAGATAGGGTTAGGTCTCCGTATCTACCATATTCTAAAATATAGATGTATTGAAGATCTACTGTAAAAATAAAACTTTAAAAGGCCCTTTTAAAAAAACATTTTATTTATTTAAGAGAGAGAGAGAGATAGTGAGAGAGAATACCAGCAGTGGGGGGTTGGGGAGAGAGAGAAGCAGGCTCCCTGATGAGCAGGGAGCTGACTAGGAGCTGATCCCAGGAGTCTAGGATCATGACCTGAACGGAAGGCAGACACTTAACCGACTGAGCCACCCAGGTGCCTCAAATCCTTAACATTTTAAATGACAGTTTACATAGGCATGAGTAAAGAGGGTTTTCTAAGCATGTTTCTGCTTTTGGTTTTTTACTCTTTCTGTCCTCAAATTAGGTTTGATCTCTGGTAGCATGTTCCACAGTACCCTATACTATATACTATTCATCACAGTTTGTAATTATTTATTTAACACAAACTCCTTGAGAACATGAGCCACATGGTCTTCTCTGCTGTGTAAACAGTATAGAATAGCATTTAAAAGTGTGGTCTGGGGTCAGATTGCCAGACTGCATCTTGGCTTCCCTAACTTTTGGATTCTCTGACTTTGAGCAAGTTACTTAACCTCTGTTCCTTGGTTTCTTATTCTGTAAAATTAGTACTGTTGTGTGACTATTAAATGAGTGGAAATAGATGGAACTTGGAGCAAGTACCAAGAAATTACTCAGTAAAATTATCCTCAGTATTTGGCACAGTTGTTGGCACAATGGAAGAGGAACACAAAAAATATTTTTTGAAAGAATTACTGATATTAGTTATGAAGGAAAAATTGTCAGATTAACAATAAAAAATTAGAAAATTCTGAATTACAAAAAAAAGATAAAATCAAAAGTAAAATTATAAATACGGAAAATTATAGGATATAAGACAAAAGGTTATAATTCTCAATTTTATGCAGAATCTTATCAAAAAGAACCAAAGATGAATACACCTATAAGATAAAAGCAAAAGACTTCAAGAAAAGTAATTTATAAAACATTTCAGGATGCCAGTGGTCAACAAACATGAACATTTTAAAATATCACTAGTATTCAAAGTACAAAGTACTTCGTTTATTTTTTAAATTTTTATTTATTTATTTATGATAGTCACACACACACACAGAGAGAGAGAGAGGCAGAGACACATGCAGAGAGAGAAGCAGGCTCCATGCACCGGGAGCCCAACGTGGGATTCGATCCCAGGCCTCCAGGATTGCGCCCTGGGCCAAAGGCAGGCACCAAACCGCTGTGCCACCCAGGGATCCCAAAGTACCTCATTTAAAGAGGACTTATCTTTCGCCTATCAAATTAACAAAGATATAAAAGACTAGTAATACCAAGTTTTGAAGAAGGTGAAGAGGGAGTGGCACACTTTTACACCCTGGTAGGACATGATATTGTAGTACGATATATAGTATAGATATATACTATATTTCAAAATTATTAAGGTTAAGCACAACTATTTGGCTATAAGACATTCAACCAAGCATTATTTTATTTTATTTATTTTTTATTTTTTTAAAGATTTTATTTATTTATTCATGAAAGACACAGAGAGAGAGGCAGAGACACAGGCAGACTTCATGCAGGGAGCCCGATGTGGGACTCGATCCTGGGACCCCAGGATCAGGCCCTGGGCTGAAGGCAGGCGCTAAACCGCTGAGCTACCCAGGGATCCCCCAAGCATTATTTTAATAGTGAACATTGGAGTCAACTTCAATTTTCAACAGGTTACATCAATAAGTATGATGCAGCCAATAGAAAACTATATAATTAAAATATCATGGAAATATATTTACTGGAAAGAATCAGGTTACAAGAAAGTAAGGCCAATTCTTATAAATTTCGAAGACTATTGGGAGGGAAGTCAGAGAGAGAGGGGGAGAGAGAGAGGGAGAAGGAGAACTCTAGATTCATATCAAGAGTCAGTTATTATTCCTGTGGCTGTTATAGAGTTTATTTTTATCTTTTCCTTTTTTTTCCTTATTTATGTCTTACGTTTTTAAGAGAAACTATACAAATTATTGCTCAACTTAAGAAATATTTTGGTGCTTCAATAATACAGAAGACTGAATTTCAAACATTGCAGATAATTAAAGCATTACAAAACAAGGAAACATTTACTTTCACAATTTCTGGAGACTGACATTCAAGATCAAATATTTTGGGATTCAGAATTGCTGCAGATCTTGTCCCACCACTACCAAAAAGATACATAGCTGTTCATGCTCTATATATTTAGGTTCTCTTAATAACAAAACAAATATTTATAATGATGGCCAAAAAGGCACATTTTAGAAACATATATTAAATACCAGTATTAATTATATTTCTGCTTAAAATTTTTTATTGAAAACTGTGATAAAATTTCAAAGCAACATGAACAGAAAAATGATAATATGGGATATCAGATTCATTACAATATTTGGTTATTAAAGTAAAATCTTTTGTTAAATAGTGGTTTCTTAATCCATTGAAACTTCTTCCCTGCCCTAGAATGAGTTTCTATGAAGAATGAAAATATGTTACATGCAAAAATAAATAAATGTTAATAAAGAAGCAAAGCCAGGAACCTTGTTTAATGACTAGAAAAAGCTATGAATGAGATGGCAGTTGTAATTTGTTTACCTGAGGAGAAGACTATGCTCAAGCATGTATTGAATCCAGTGATTGCTATGATGTCATCCATACTGCTAGCAGCTATTAGTAAGGTTGGGATGCCTTTCTTAATGCCATATCCATTTTCTTGCAAAAGAAGCATGGAAGGGACAACCACAGCAGGAGAGACAGCACCTAGTACAAAACTAATAGAAAGACTTTGAAAACCAATTTTAAAACATCCTTTTAACAAAGCAGTGTTTTATATTAAACTGTACAACAAATACATTAACCTTTACAGATTTACAATAACTTCAAAGTAAAAATGCTGAGTTAATGTCATTTAATGGTGGTAAAAATTTTTACATGTTTTTTACTACTGGTTGAAAGTTATAGAGATTTCATTGAAGATGCTGGTTTGGGAACAAATTGCCTCTACCTTCATCCCTAAATCTTTGAGATGAAGATATAAAAATAATACAAAAACTCATAACCTAACTAGGAAAAAAAAAAAAAAGGAGAATCTCCAGTGCGTAAGAAACCAAGTATATCCAAGGAAGATAAGACACAGTTTAAGATTGAAAAAAATCATAGGACAAGTGTGTGTAAGGAAATATTGCTACAAAAGAGATTTCTGAAAATGCTCCAAGCTCAGAAATAGATGCCAGGAGCAGGAGGGATCTCTGAGGAAATCCAATGGATGATTATTTGGAGTAAGAATGGCCAGACAACTGTACTCTCCATCCCATTTCTAACTTTTGGACAAGTCAGTAAGGAACAGAGATGTCTGCCCCAAAGAAGGAACAATGAGCAAAGGCAAATGAGAAAATTCCTGGGGTGGATGCAATGTCTTTTGTTGGTATATCCCATTCAGTACCTTACCTCATCTCTTCCACATTCACTTTATAAAGAATGAAGTATATACCTTGTGCAGAGATGTTTTTGGTGCCCCACCAGAACCTGTTTACCAGTGCACACATCCCCCAGATGCTGCTGCTGGCTGCTAACCCCTACACCTGGAGCTTTCTAGCAGTCTTACTCTGCTGAGAAGAGCTTACTTGGGGATGCTAAGGAGGTTTTCCCCCCACTCCTTCTTCTAGACAGCTCCTGTCAATTATTGACTGAAGTAGAGGGTCTGATAGTTTAGTACTTTGCCTCTGGCTATACAATCTGATACAGTTTACTCTCAAAACTTCCCCATGGACTCAAGAAGAGCCTAGAATTCTCTGAAAATACTTATTTGCCTAGCTTGATTGTTTCTAAACTTTACAGCACTTTGGAATCACCTGGTATATTATTTATCGGTAGCTGCTTAACATATTATTTCCAAATTTAGTAGCTTAAAACAACACTTATCACACAATTTCTGTGGGCCAGGAATCTGGGTGTGGCTTTGTTGTATGCCTCTGAATCCAGGTCTCTCATGAGGTAGGTAGAAGATGATCTGCTTTAGTTACATGGCTGCTGCAGGCTTTCAATATTTTGTCATGGGTGCTTCTCAATCAACGGGGCTGTACTCATAATATGGCAGCTGGCTTCCCCCAAGAGAAGCAATCAAAGAAAATGCAAGAGAGAACATACAAGATAGAAGGCATGGTCTTCTCATGACCTAATTTTAGAATTGACATTCTACCATTTCCACCATATTTTGTTTGTTAGAAGCAAGTAAGTCCAGCCCATATTCAAGAAGAGGATGCTACACAAAGTTGTAAATATCAGAAAGTAGGGATCAGTGGGAGTGATCTGAGATACTGAGTACAATGTACTTGGGGATCTTTCAAAATACTGATGCCTGGCTCCCATTCCAAGACATACTGATCTGATATAAGATGGTCTTTGACCTGGTACTAGCATTTTAAACAATTTTTTAAAATTGTGGCAAGGAAATTGACATAATATAAAATTTGTCCTCAACCATTTTTAAGTGTGCAGTTTAGTAGTGTTAACCGTATTCACATTGCTGTATAACAGATCTCGAGAACTTTTTTGTCTTAACAAAACTAAAACTCTATATAACCATCAAACAAGTCCTCTTTCTCTCTCACCCCAGCCCCTAGCAACCATCATTATACTTTCTATTACTATGATTTTGACTACTTTAGATATATCAGTGGAATCATACAGTATTGTCCTGGCTTATTTATCCCAGCATAATGTCCTGAAGGTTCACCTATGTTATAGAATGGGACAGAATTTCTTTCTTTTTTAAAAGGTGAATAATATTCCATTCTATGTATACACCACATTTTCTTCATTCATTCATCTGTCAGTGTGGGCTGCTTCTACTTCTTGGCTATTGTAAATAATGTTCCAATAAACATCGATGTGCAAATATTTCTGAGATCCCTTGTTTTCAATAGGCCTCAGGTATCCAAAGTGTGCCACTCTTTTTTCTGCCAGCATTCTGAGTCAGGTGAGACAGAAACAAGTCCCTCAGCTCAAAAAGTCAAAATGAAGAACATATGCTTTAGCCTTTTTCTCTCCTTCCTGATGGAGAAGCCAGGAGTTGGGAGCTTTCTCCCAATTGCCCCTTGCTGTGCAGGGAGGGGATGAGGTATGGTAGGTAAGTGCAATGAGGTGTTCTAACTGCTCCCATGTGTCTTTGGCCTTGCACTTGGAAGGGAGTTCTCACAAAGGTAATCTGGTTCTTATGTTTTTAAGTCAGTGTTGTGTGAGGAGAGCCTGGGGCTTTGTATTCTTCCATGTTGCTGACATTATTCTTCTGATTATTGGGATTTTTGAAAGCTCCTCAGGTGATTTTAATGTATAGCAAAGTTTGGGAACCATTGATTTTCCCCGTAGCTTCCTTCACTCAGAGGTTTCTACTGAGACATCCCTGAATACATTATTTGCATAAGAATCTTAGTCTCAGTCTGAGCCTCTGAGATACCTTGTTTGGTAATTTGGTTGGACTATTCCCTTCAAGAAGACAAAACAAACAAACAAAAAACCCAATAGATAATAAACTAATCACAAATTAATGTTAAGAGTAAAATACAAAAATGGGCCCCCATTCAAGGATCAGAAAATATTTAGAGAAATCTGTCACTTTGGGGCACCATGCTCATTAAGGAGAAAAAATTTATACCTGAGAAAAGAGATATACTAGGAAGACAGAAACCAAACCAAGACCTCAGGATAACTATAAATACCCTCTGAATCATGAAAGTATACTGCATCTACCCATAAAAATTTAATGATAGTTTCTAGAAATTAACAACAAATTCTCCAAATTAAAATAATTAGTGATACAAACATAGCTAAAAAGTGACTTAAGAAGCTAGAGGACTGTGCAGAGAAAATTTTCCAGCATGTACTGCAAAAAGGTAAGCACAAAAAAAGTATAAAGAAAACTTAATAGGTATAGAGGAGTTACAAAAGGGCATAATAGAAGAGAACTCCAGAGAGGATAAAGACATACTCAAGACCTGGAAAAAAAAATAGATACACAACCCTTTGATTGACACATCACACCAAATATTTAGTAGAACAGATTTTTAAAAGATTCACCTCATGATACTAAGGAATTGTTAATTTAGTAAGAAAAATGCCATTACCTTTTAGAAATGCATACTGTAGGATACAGGGATGAAATACCATCATTTGTGTAATTTACTTTAGGATTCATTAGGGACTATCAAGTCTAAATTAAGGATATTTGGGAGTTTGTTAGTATTCTCTCTACTCCTGTACAAGTTTGAAAATTTTCACTAAATAAAGAGACCTATCTGAGACTGCTCTTTTCAAACTTTAATATGAAAACAAGATACATGAGAATCTCATAAAAATGCAGATTCTATTTCAAAAGATCTGGGACCAAGATTCTGCATTTCTAACAAGCTTTTAGGTGATACTAATGTTGCTGTCCAAAGAACATACTTTGTACAGCAAGAAATTAATTGGAATAATTCAGAATACTGAGCTTCCAAAGAGAGAGAGAGAAAACAAGATTGGGATAGCTTACCTAGAAAAGGAATTAAAAATTAGTTTGATAAGAGACTCCTCATGGGCAAAACTAATGCAAAGAGATAACACCAATATCCTTGAAGTATTGAGAAAATACTTTTGAATCTAAAATTCAATTCTGGGTCACACAGAAGTCATGTTCAGACATTCAAGTATGCAGTTTATTATCCACTGATCAGTTTGAAGAGAACTGGGAGATCAACTCATTAGGAAGGATAATTAGTACAAAAGAAAAGAGTTTAAAAAAAATAAAAGGGCATAGGTAGCATAATGGAGATATTAAGAATAAAGGCTCTAGGGGATCCCTGGGTGGCGCAGTGGTTTGGTGCCTGCCTTTGGCCCAGGGAGCTGTCCTGGAGACCCGGGATCGAATCCCACGTCAGGCTCCCGGTGCATGGAGCCTGCTTCTCCCTCTGCCTGTGTCTCTGCCTCTCTCTCTCTCTCTCTGTAGCTATCATAAATAAATAAAAAAATTAAAAAAAAAAGAATAAAGGCTCTAGGCACAGCCAAAGTTTTGGATCTATCTATCTAGTCATCTGATGTTAGGAAAACCATGTAGCATCTCCTTGTCTCCATTTGTATGCAAAAAAAATGAGAATAATAATAGTATCTACTTCACAGAACTTTGTGAGGATTAAATAAATTATCAAGTACTTCACAAAGTGCCTGACACATGGTAACACCATATAAATGTTTGCTATTACTATAATTATTGTGATTATCATCACAAGAAATAATGATGAGTAGTGAAATTCATTGCTAAATCTATAGTTCATTGTGAAGAAAACTTAAAAATAATCTTAGACTAAAATTCTAGATTATATTAACTGGTGGGGAAATGTATGAGGCAGTGAAGGAATGTAAAAACAAGCCATTAAGTATGGTTTTTCAAAAATTTTGGGTAATTACAAGGAGAATGTGTTTGTAATTTCTAAGTATTAAAGGAATAAACAAAAGTGGAACAAAGAAAATGCTGTTAATCCAACAAAAGATTAAAAAAGTGAAAAAAGAATGAAATTCACATGAATGTATAATATTTTAAAAAGTGAAATAAAAGCAAGGTTAAGTAAAAATTGACCTACAAGGAATTGGTTGGATGGACCTGTTAAGAAAGAGCCTCTTTGACTGCATTTTTAAAATTTAGCTCTGAGTTGTTAGTAAGATATATATCTAATACAAAATGGTACAGAGAAGTTGAAAATTACAAGTGGGATGAATAAATTGGATCTATTTCATAAAT